AAGTGTCTGAGAAAGATATTGAAGATTCCTTGTTCGTACATATCACGGGTGTCTAATGCCACAGTTTTGGAGAAATCATGCATGAAAACGTTGTCGAATATCTTGCACGATCGGCAGATCCAGTTGTACAGGAAGATCACCTGCTATGACGCAAACTCATTGGTAAGGCAAGTGGTATCCAACCCCGACGCCACGCCAAAGCAATGGGTTCACCAGAGACGCAGAGGCCGCCCACGACAACAATGGGTGAACTCAGTGTACCACATGATGCAAGGCTGATTTGATTCATCCTCATCGTCATCTATCGAATTCTGTTCGGCGCCGGCGTTTGGCCAGGCTCTCTCGCCTGTCGCCGCTCTGCACAGCGTTTGGCTGTTCGCTTGCTTTGCCTACGCGTCCACTCGGATGCAAGGCTGCTGTACTGTACTGTACTGCTCTCCAGCAGGAGGTAGGACTCATAGGGATCAAGCCATCGTCCTACCCCAACCAACCTCCAGTGATGGGGCAAACATCCTCGTACACGTCGTTCATGTCTGTTCGTGCTCATTTCTAATTGTGCTCGTTTCTAATTGTTCCTGGCCCCCTAGTGGCCAGGAAGAGGCCCAGGATAGAACAATTAGAAATGAAAGGATCTTGCCCGCCAGAAAATCAAAGAACTTTCGAATAATTCGAAAAGAACAATGTGCACTCAAAACGGTAATCCCGCATCCGAGGTGGACTTTGCGCTGGTGCCCGCGGCGCCATCCCCTTCTATGCAAGAAGCCGCGCGCGGAGAAAAAAAACACGGCACAGCAACAAGTGGGCAGAAAAATCCCGGCCTCAGAGGAGGGCGTGGCGTTAAGTCGCGCATGTCCCTCTGCAGGAGGGAAATTCAAAACGTAAAAAAAACAGCCTGGGGACGATTTTTGACCATTGTCGACTATATTTGAATGCTTGTGGGTCTCTTTTAATTTTCCTCCAAAATCCGCCTGTAGGGGGGCTCGCCCGACCAAAGCGTGGCGAGACGCCTCACGAGAGGACGCCCGCGAAGAAGGGAGGCGCTACTCCGGAGCGAAGACCCTGAGCCCAAAACGGTTGGCACCTCTTAGGGGGGGAGGAGAGGGGAAACTTTTTAGCACGGGCTGACCTGTTTGCCGCCCTGGAGCTCCGGGGGCCCTCCACGGGTCCCGGGACTGTCAGAAAACGACTCAGGATGAAGAACTGGTCCTGGGGGAAGGCCCCGGGGTCCAGGACCTGTTTCCAGACTCCTCTGGACGCCCGAGATGGGCACGGAAAGAACGGGTACAATGCCCAACAGCAATTCCTGCCCATTTTGAACAGGATTCGCTGTCCACGCCGCCGCGGCCTGTGTCCATTCGAGACAGGAGGCCGCTTGCCCAACAGCGGCCGCTGTTGGTTTGGGACAACATTTGCTGTTGGGCATTGTACCCATTTCTTCCGTACCCATTCCGGGCGTCCAGATGGACCCGTTTCCCCCATGGCGAATTTTCAGGTCCGCCGGCTTCCGCTGGCCTTCCGCCCGCCGGCGGAGGCGGCCTCGTTTGACGTTCGCAGGCTGTTCGGGAGACCCCGAGCCCACAAGGTTGGCATCTTTTGGGGTAGGGGGGAGGCAAGCAGGCTGCTTCTTGGCATGGGTCTCCGCAGTAAGAGCTCCTAAGAGAAAGACCAACATGGACCATGACGCTCGCCAGCCCGTGCGGCGTGCCACGTGCACTGTACCAGCCATGGCGCGCGCGAAGGCACGCCCGGGACACTTGCAGGAAGAGATACCAGAGGCCTCGGAACACATAGCGAACACTCATGCCACATTCATCTGTCAACGCCTCCCCCTCCCCCCAATGTTCAAAGTTGGCGGTGGGTCTGACGAGTTGCGCCTCGACCGCAGTCCCCCCCGCGCGTGCCAACTTTGACTTTTGGGGGGGGGAGCAGTGTTCAATAATTATCTCCCTCTACCGTATCGGTCCTTCCTCCTAGCCACAGACTCCGCCAGAACTGGCCAAAGAACTGTCGGGGGCCAGGGTGGCGCTTCCCGCTCCACAGGCCCACTCAGCGACCAGACTGCTGCTCTCCAGGAGCTCGGGAGGAATCCGAATTCCCATCTCGCGCCCACACGGTCTCGAGCCTGATCGCCGCGCACCCGGGCCTTTTCCCTGCTGCGGGGCCCTGCGCCCTCTGTTCGGCCTGCTGCGGGGCCTCGGTGAGCTGCTCCTCCGCTGCCGACTCGCGCCGGGGCCGGCGCTGGCCTGCGCGGCCAGGCGCTGGGGCCCTGCCCCCTCCGATGGCTCCCTCGTGGCCCCTTCCGTGGGCCACGGCCTCTCCGATGGCTCCTCCGAAGGCTCCTTCGTGGCCCCTCCGAGGGTTTCTCCATTCCCGCCTGACCTCGTGGGGCATTATCTCGGGGCCCCTCCGCCCGGCCAGAAAATGCAGCCAGGATCGGCATCCGGCCTCACCCTGCGGCCGTCGCCTCCCCAGCGTGCCTCGGCGACGTCCCCGCGCGAGCGCTCGCGCGCCGCGCGCGCCGAGCGGAGCGGAGGCCCTCTGCCGCCGCTGCTGCTTGGACCGCCTCCCCTCCCTCTCTGGCTGCTCTGGGGGCACCCGCCCGGCGATGTCGTGCGCCGCGCGCGCATCGCGTCGGCGAGGGCCAAGGCCTGGGGCAACGAGCAGCGAGCGCGAGGACAAGCCGAACCTCCTCCTCCTCCTCCTCCTCCTCCGCCTCCGCCTCCTTCTCCTCCGCCTCCGCCTCCTCGTCCTCTCATCGCGCGGGGGACACCGAGACTCCCCCAGCTCCTACAAAGGCCCCGAGCACCTCCACGAGGCTCTGTCGACGCTCCCCTCCCATCCCCTCGCATTCGTCCTCACACCCGCCGCTGCCATCGCCTCCTCCCCTCTACTGCCCCCCGTCGCCATCGCCATTGCTTTTGCCTCCCTTTCCCTCGCATCCAAGCCCCCCACCCTCGCCATTAACATGGCCTCCCCTCCTGTCAAATCCCCTCGACTGGCCTCCCATCCCCTGCAGGCGCAGCGCTTGAGGAACGCAATCGAGGACCGAACCCTGTCCGCATTGTTTCACCATGGCCTGTCGACCCCCAGGGTACGGTGATCCAAGGGAGGAGGGAGGAGGGAGCAGGAGGAGGAGGATTCTAGGGGGGAAGGGGGGGACCGCCTGGCGCGGTCGGGCAAAAGGTCCGTCTCCGCCCGCCCGCTCACTCTACAAAACCACTATGACCGCCGGGTGGTGGGGCTCGCAATGCCGCTGATACTGGGTGTCCCAAAACCGTGTGGTGACAGACCCGGCGGCGACCTCGAAATCCGCAAAGACCTCACCGCATGGTCCGTCACACGGTTTTGGGACCCTGGAGGCCCCAACCGCCCGAGACATCCTCGGAGAACGACCCAAGTCCCAAAACCGTGCGGTGACCCCGAATCCCCACCGACTCACCACACGGTGTGGTCACCACCCCGTTTGGGGGCCCCCGATGATGAGAGAGCTAGGACCGACCGCCCTGGGAGTCAGGAGCGCCTTCCTCGGAATGCTCTTGTAACAGCAGAGCGCTGTAAGAGCAAAGACAGGTTCTCGTATGAAGCCGGTGCGCTCAGTGTGCCCTGAAAAGGCCCAGGGCGTTTCTTTATGGTTCTCAACTGTCTTTCAACAACTCGTTGTTCAATCATTTCCGGCTGCCATTGATTAGTCGTTCTCAGGTCTTCGTGGCAATGCGTTTTTGATCGTTTCCGACACCAACCCGAATTAACGTTACTTTAATAGTTTCCAGCTTCGTGCGATATCCATCGTTTCCAAGTATGCCTCGCAACGTGCTTCTACATCCAGTACTGTTTCGTCTGGGCGTGCATTGGCAATCACCAAGCGGTAATGAGGCAGCAGCAGGCAGCAGCAGCAACAAGCAGCAAATATCAGCGCGCAACAGGAAACGGCAGACACGCCCAAGCAAGGTGTTGGAGGCTGCAGTTGGCAGCAGGTGCACCAGAGATGCCTTTTCGGAAAGAATGTCGAGCTCTTATCGTGCGTTGCCTGTCAGTCGCTGTCCGACCCGAGTGCGCGTCAGAGTCGGAGACATCGTCGGTGTCATAACGGCGGCGTCGGCGTCGTAACGGCGGCCTCAGCGGCAGCGGCGACATCCTCAATGTTTCCGCATCCCCTGGGCCAAGGGGCGAAATTGCCTGCTTGAGACCATGCCCAATACGATTCCAATACGTTTGCAACGCGTTTCCAACCCCCTACTCCGGTGTGTCGAACAGCGACTAGCAGGTAACGCGCGAGCTCGACACTCTCTCCAAAAGGCTTCTCTGTTGCACCTCCTGCCCGCTGCAGCCACCAACTTCCTCCTGTGCTGTCTGGTGCTGCTGCTGCCTGCTGCTACTGCCTGCTGCTACTGCCTGCTGCTACTGCCTGCTGCTGCTGATGCCCGCTGCGCCTCTCCGTGTTCATTCTCATCGGCACTCCCGTACTCGTAGTGTACCCAATGTTCACCAACCCGTTTTCATAGTTTCCAGTGGGGGGGGGGGCGTTTCACTACGATTTCCAGATTGCGCCTGCTCGTCTTAAAATGGCCTCCAAGTCATCATGCGAATGCGTTGTTGTATAGTTTCTGCGTTACGTTTTTACTTGTTTCTGGGCCCCCGCTCGTGACTCACAAAACGTGAGAGATGGAAGCTATAAAGAAACGCCCTGGATGCTTCCAAGGCTGCCGCGACCAAACTTGCGGTTCACGTGTTGCATGGACCACAATAGGATCTTGACCTTTTATTGGCGGGCTCAAAGGCTTATCAGCGAAGAACCCCCAAGCCCTGAGAACTTCACTCACTTGCATGAGAAGCGTGCCGCCACCATCTACCAGGTGCAGGAGGAGGAGGAGGAGGAGGAGGGGGAGGAGGAGGGAGGAGGAGGAGGAGGAGGAGGAGGAGGAGGAGGAGGAGGAGGAGGGCCCGGGCCCGCAGTGCCGCCGATAAGCGAAGACCCCCCCCCCATTCCTCGAGAACTTCATCTACGTTATCAGCGTGCCGCAGCCGCCACCTGCCGGGCGCAGTCCCGCCATGCGGGCTTCGGGCCTCAGCGGCTGCAGGGACGGTGGCAACGACGAAGATGGCCATCGTCTCTCATGTGCGGTAATGGAGAATGACGATCAAGAAATGACCGGGGGTCGTGTTCACGCGGCGGCGCCCGGGATGACGATTACAAAAAACCGGCCGCGGGCTGGAAAACTATTTTTATCGTTCTCCTCAAGTCAGAAAATTACGCAGAAATAGCAGACAACTATTTTTTTAATCGTTCTCTCCCATTTGTTTTACTAATCGTCATCCCGCATTATGCTCCATAGCCGAGGCCAGGAGTGCATGACGACTGCTAAAGCGACTGATCAGGCCGACTGTAGAAAAGCAGGCCGTCGCCAGTGGTGCTGCGAAACGTGGGCACCACCTCTGCAGCGTTTGGAAGAGGTATGACGGGCGGACCTGGCACTGATCCAGTACCGAATCGATGTCGCAGTCCGAGGCTGCCATGCCGCACGCCAGCCGAGAAGCCCTCATCAGCGGCAGATGCCAACATTTCGCGGCTCGCTTCGCGATGTGAAGGGGCCAACCGGATTGTGCTGGGCTGGCACGACTACGGCCGCAGCGGCGCGGGCCGCCCAGTGGAGCCCCCCGAACAACAGCGCTGGGACCCCCCCGCCCTCTTCGGCAAGTGCAAAAGGCACGGCACGTCCCCCGAAGACCCCCGGCCCTCGAGCGAGGCCGACCCGCTCTGGGTCGGCGGGCGGAGCTGACCAGGATCAGCCAACGCCGAGGCGGGAAGCCGCGGACGGGACCGAAATGCGCGTCGGACCGGCATACTTACACGTCGGTCAGTACTGATGGTGCTCATTTCTAGCTGTGCTCGCTTCCAATTTTTCTCCTGGCCCTCCAGTGGCCAGGAAGAGGCCCAGGACAGAACACAACTAGACATGAGAAGGATCCTGGCCCCACAAACAATCAAAGAACCGCCGAAGAATCAGAAAGTGAACAGCATGCACCTACACCAGCACAGAGCCAGCACCGGATCGGATCGGCTGCGACATGACGCACCCCGGCGCCACGCAGACGCCGGACCGCTTCGCACCGTCGGAACATCGGAGCTGCACCGGGCCGAGGCGGGGGCGCCATCGGTATATCGAACCGGGCCGACCAGATTGGAAGGCAGCCCCGGCAGGGGCAGTCAAGGTTCTGTCCCCCTGCTCCTCCTCCTCCTCCTCCTCCTCCTCCTCCTCCTCCTCCTCCTCCTCCTCCTCCTCCCCCTCCTCAAGGTGATGTCTTCGGCGGCGTCCGGGCTCTGGGGTCGAAGCTCGGGTCTGCGGCGGTCGCTCGGGGCGGTCTTTCGGCGAGGCGCAGCCGCGCTGCTGGCAAGCCTTCCGAGGCAGGAGGACGTTCAGGAATCTGCGCAAACGTCAGGAAGCCCATGTGCACCTCGATCCCGACATGTTTTTGTTGGCTTGGGACTCCCGTGGGAGACCGACCATCGTGGGGCCACTTCAAGGCGAAGAGAGCGGGAGAGCGCGAGATAGAGAGAGAGATGAGGAGGAATCTAAGATCCTTCTCCTCCTCCACTGTTCGCAGCTTCCTCGCCATTCTCCTCCTCATCTGTCGCCTCGTCCTCCTTCCCCTCCTCAGTCCCCTCATCCTCTGCCTCATCGTCACTGCCCTCATCCTCCCGCAGGCCATACTGTTGGTTTTTCTGGTTTTCTGGTCTGGGAATTAAGAAATCTGGCCAGGCATTGCGTTTGCTGTTTTTGTTGGGGTCTGGGGACTCCTTAGAAACGTGACCAGGCGTTGGTTATCAGGTTTTGTCTAATCTGGGGGCTTACGAAACCTGACGGGGCCTTCTTGTCTTTCCCCAACTTTTCTTGTCTGGCCTGTGGATTCACGCAAGAAGGCGTTTTCTCTTGCATCCGG